CGTCATCTGACAGCGGAATACCTTGAGTGATTGACATCTAATATGAACTAACATAGCGGCAGGGAAGAGCGATTCAGCACGTTTTTACAAAAAAATCAAAACAGGTCGCACTACAACCATTATCTGGAGTCGCACTAATGCGCCAAAATATATTATGCGGTCGCATAGATTAATTTTCGGGCGCATATGCGACAAAAATGGTCGCAATTTCGAGCCCTGCGATATATATCTGGTATTTTCCCAAAATTGGTTACTTGAGAGTTAAAGCCTTCATTAAGACTTTATTATAAGACTTTAACATTTTTTTGAGCAAAATATTATTCAAACACAGAGGTTTCCCTCTCTACTCAAAAAATAACAGCTGCACAAAATCTTTGATAAATAAAATACAGTACAGGGGTTTCTCCTGCTTAAAACTACAAGTTGCACAACATATTAAATTATAAACAAAATCTTTGATAAATAAATACAGTACAGGGTTTTTCCTGCTTAACACTATACACAGCCCTACTGTGCTGCTGTGCAAATAACAAAGTAAACAGAACAATAAAAAAGAACATAGCTACATCATCAGGGCAAAAAAAGGAACACTTAAATTAGGGTTGGGCCGATAGACAACGCCATCATCTATCACCGATGGCCGACAGACTTCCAGATGCTGAGGCCGCATTGCGATCCATCGCCCCGCCCCACATTTAAATTGATATATAACTTATTATTTGCATGTCACTTTAAAAGCAATAGCAGTCTTTTCATGAGTTCGAACCTGACCAGAGTCATTTTTAATTTTAATTTTTATTAAGACATATCAGTGTATCCTCCAGGATTTTTTCCAGCTGTGGCGGCAGACTCTGTTGGCCATTTTACACAGATCTACCACGACATGTGGCGTTATTTCATTGACAAATGTAATAGCCGCAGTATTAAGTCGAGATCGCATTCATGTAATGGCCTATGAGCATGTCAATATCTGTTTGAGCACTGATTTCCTCTGTTCGTGCACAAAACTTCTTGCGCACCCTCAAATATATGGTGCTCAAGTGCAGATTTTCTTGTGCGCCCTCAAATAAACGCGGCTGAAGTGTGATTTAGTGCGTTTATGTACCGAGTATGTCTCAAACATTTATTAGATTTGTTAGGAATATTTATGAATGTCTCCGATAGACTTGCGGAGCAGACCGCGGCATTAATGCACCTTGAAGTAAAGTGAAACGGCTATAAACTCCAGCAAGAGCCACAGACCTTTATCTATAAATAAAGTATAATTATGGAAACTGTGTTCATCATAACTGAAAGCTATGCCATGTTTGCTGCTCTCACGCATCATGCATCTGTCAGTCAGTCAGTCAGTCAGTCAGCACGTCACCTTAAAGGCTTAAACAGCACGCACAGTACTACTACGGTCACAGAATAGTTTGCTCTGTTATTATTCACTTACCTTTTCATACATTTTCGGTGCAATTTTAACCCGCAATTTAAAAAATGACCGAATATTTTGAATAAGAAGCTGTAATGTAGCCGTGGCGGGATGAATTTTAATGTGGCATCTCTCGTAGTCAAACAGACAAAAGCTAACCGACATTCATATTAATTACAATCTAGGGTTGTAACAATATACCGGTATGACGGTCTACCACGATTTGAACGTGCACGATTATCCTACCATGAACAATTGCATATCAACGGTTTTAACCCTTAAAGACCGAGACAGCCGCCCGCGGCTAAAAATAAGTATAGCTCTTAAATGTTTAATAACTTTTGATCCGCTGATCCGATTCATACAATTCAAAGATTGGCATAAAGAAGAGAATCTCAGCTTTCCAGTGCTGTATCACATACCATTCGCGGACTTTCAGAGGCTCCGAAATCAGTGCGGTTACGTCATCAAAATTTGACAACGCTGATTTGACAAAGAAACGCTCGTCACTGTGTCTCCGGACAAATCAGACATGATACATTGATGCATTGTCCCTCCTCCATGCCCAGATTGGTTCAAACTCGCTGTATCACAACCAATAAGCAAAGGTTTCGCTTTTGTTTGTGGACCAACAATGAGCTTTTTGAACAACACGGAATGAGAGATAGGCATACATTTATGCGCGGCTAAATAAAACGCAAAAAAAAAAAAGTTTTGCATGAAATAATTCTCATACTAAGTACTTTTGCATGCACAGCAGCACAGAAACATGACAAAACAGTGACACAGCAAAGACGAACTGCTGCTCTTGCTGTTTTCAAAAGACGCAAATGAAGGTGCAGCTGTTTGTCTGCATTGCATACAACCACATCCAAATCCATATCCACAGACAACCATATCCATGCTGGCACATAAAACCTAAGGATGTTCCATATTGAATCTAGTTTCGTTATGTAACTATTTATAGTATAGTAAATATTTATATCTATTTTTTACTGAGGATTTGCACCATGTTTATTTGGACTTTATTTGGACTTTGACACATTATTTATTATTTTCTTATTTTTTATTTGTTCATTGTAAGTGGTGTTGTTTATAGTAACTGAAAATATATTATTTGGAAAAAGTCAAATTTGCTTCACTGTTCTATTATTTTGTAACATTTGTAACATACCGTATACCGCGAAACCGTCAAACCGTGGTATTGTTTTAGACGATTATCATACCGTAAAAAATTCATACCGTTACAACCCTATTACAATCCAAAGTATTGCACAAGACCATTCGTTAGATGAGCAGAACGGAGCTCTTGCATTCAGTCACGTTACAGATCTGTCAAGTTTCTCTTGTATCAAGCCATTTTCATTGATGATATCGAAGGGATAGTTCAACCAAAATTATTTCTTTATCTTTTACTTGATTTAAACCTTTATGAGTTTATAAAAAAAAAATATCTTCAAAATAAGATATTTTGAAAAATGTTGCAAACCTGTAACCACTGACTCCATACTATTTGTTGTGTCCTATTATTGAAGTCAATTGTTACATCTTTCTTTAAAATAAAGAAGAGGGGGGGTTTAAAGATTCCTTTAACAATACTGGACAGGTAAACACCCTAGTGACTATTTAGCGAAACACCACTCCAAACACCTTAGCATGCTCATAGCAATACCTTGCCACAAAGAGTTTTGAGCAGAACCTACTCAGCAACATTATGATAACGCTACGATATTTGCATCTCAACTCGCGCTGAACTGTTAAGTAGTCTATCTGATGTGGGCTCTTTCCTGTGTGCAGACATTTGCAGTAGGCTCCATATACTCTAAATGTAGCTGAAATGCAAAGTACAAGGCTGGTGAACAACAAGTCCTGACTGGGTAATTAAAGAGCTGGGAAGAGAGAAAAAAAGCAAAGGCAGACTGACTGGAAACCACTACCAGCCCTTGAAGAAACATCTGTGTTAAAGGAAAACAAGGTAATTATATGGAAAGAGGGAGGAACTGCTGAAGTATTTAGCCTTCAGAGAGAGGCGCTTTGTCTGCCACTGCAGCATCCTTGTGTCCAAAAAGACCACAATAGTGGAAAACTACAACCAGACCTCTCCAAATATACGTATTTTACATCTTTCTTTCACCTCGTGAAAAAAAGCTCTCCAGCCATTTTGCTGGTTTTTATCCGGCACACTACCATTGTCGGAAATTTCCGCATTCCAAGGACACTTCCGGACACAACTTTGTTGTGGACGAGGACATTATCTTCAAAGCCCAGCGCAAGCGAAGCCCCCTGCAAAGATCAGACTCCATTTTTCATTGTGAACGTGAGCCAAAAGGAAAAGAAATGAACGTACACAAAACACACCCTGCAGCAAACTTGCACTTTCTTCTTCCCTGTCATACATGAACCAGTCAATATGAAACGTAATGGTAGGTAGGGTTGGGCGATGTCGAACAATTGGGCATCGTACAATGTCTAATGTGAAACATCGCGATGAACAATGGCATCGTCGTCATAGGCGGTGGTGAATGAATCATTTATGAATAATTAACTCATTCATAACAAATTAACTATTTGTAGCCTACCGTTTCAACAACCTGACCCGCATGGTCTTTGTTTTACAAAAACCAAATCATAAACAAATAAAGATAAGTTACACACAAATTTCCACCTGTCAATCACTTTTTTCCGCAGGACTCTCGCATAAATAGGCAGACTGATCTGTGTCGTTAAAATGGCGTCAACAAATTTGTTCGGTAAAAAAGGTGCACAACCAACAGCAACCAACCAACAGTATGAGGTTTTTTTTCGCTAAAATGACTAAGTACAAGCGTGAAAGCGAAACATTGAAACAGTGTTCTGACGCTGTGACACATTACCTGATGTATTCAAAAGACAGAAGAGTTGTTAGATAAAACCAAGATGATTTAAATATCACGTTTAACAACTATAGTGAGACACGATTCAGCGGTACATCCTTGATAAACTGTCCGACGTGCACTGCTCTCTGGGGTTTTTTGCTCAAAGCACCCACTGGCTGCTGGAGCTCAGACGCACACAAGTGCTGCACCGGATGACCGTGTGTGTGTGGTCACGTGATGTGTGTTTTCAGCAGTATAGTGTGGAAGGAGGGCTTTTTAAAAATGCTAGATGAAACACCAGTGTTGTTGTGTACTTATATTTTTTGAGAGGCTCTGTAACCGCGCAAAGGCTGCGCCGCACCACACCCGTGCACTTGACGCAGAAGCATACATCAGCCTTAAGAAACTGCAAGTTGCAATCCACAACTTACTCTGTAACCAACTTACAATTTTAATCAATTGCGACCATCTGAAAACATTACTGCAAAGATATAAGGTAGAGGCTCAACCACTAGTTAAGAAGACAACAAGCAGAACAATCTATATGTATTTATATATGCAATATCCATTCTAAAACTAAATCCATTCTAATTCTAAATCCATAACTAAAAACCAATCTATATCACCGGTGCCCCACACAGAAGGCAAACTGTGATTGTATACAACTAGTTATGCAAAATAAAAGATCCCAGCAACTCTGAAATATTAGAAGACACCCATTAACTGACCTTTTTGGCAATGGTTTGAGGTCCAGCATCTCGTGCACTGAGAGTTGTCCTCCATGATTCCCGGACAAACATTTCCGCACTCCTTGGACTGCTTATTTCCATCAATAAAGTTGTTCAACTCAGCATCCAAAATGAGAGACCAGTCCACTGAATCCAAGTAGCAGAGCTCGGGATTCTTCTCGATCCGTATTGCACCCCGTGTGATATTCCGCAGATTGTAGAGGCCGATGTCCTTCAGGCTGGTCAACTCAAATATGACCAGGGCGTAGTTGTAGAACAAGTTGCGGCCACGGATCACAGCCAAGTTCGGAAAGAGGGTGCTGAGGCTTTCCAGTCCTGAGACACGGAAGAGGAGAAGGTAATCCGTAATCATGGTCAGTTTGGGGAAGCTGAGGGTGCGGAAGACCTCCTGATTGTTACTGTTTTTATCGCCGATGAGGAGGATCTGCAGGTATCCCTCAATCACAGTACAGTTTTCCAGCCGCTTGAAATTACCGATGTCGTTGCCAATATCAATGCCTGGACCACAGACTGAAACAAGAACAACAAAACAAATTGTCAGATGACATGTGAAATGTGTGATATTCAACCACCTAATGTAGCAATGCTTTTGAGAGAATCGTAGTGATGGATTGACCTTTAATATTTGAATTAATAGTATGATAATTCATGGAAAGTTGCACAATTTGCAGACTAAAATAAAACCCCAGGTGATTTCTATTCTGTTGTGGATCTTATTCATTGTAGATGCAATATTTAATTTAATATGCATGGGAAGTAAATCTGTAGGGACTTTCTAACATGCGCATTAAATCAGCTGTACTTCTGCTTTAAAATAACAGTTAATCCGAAAATATGTTGTTCCAAATCTGTATTGCTTTCATTCTTCACTGCAACACAAAACTTTCTCCAACTGTCTTCAGTGTGTAAAGATCCAATGACTAAAAAAGGCCAGAGTAAATTATGCCTATTTGGACGCAAACAGTATGAAAGTATTAAATAAAGTTGCAATTTCTACATAAAATGCATTCAAGTGATCTCTGAGCATTAAATAGTCTTGTGTAAAAACAGCTAAAGTCTATAATATATTTTACCTTTTACTTGCAATCTAAATACTCTACGCTTGTAACCGTGCATTTGTTGTACGTAAATTTACATTGCACATTTAATTTTTGTGTAATAATTAGCTCATCCACAAAGTAGCAGCAGTGCATTGGAGACAGTAGCCGAATTTCCACTATCGCGGCTAAAGCGAAGCCAAGGCCAGTCGCATTTTCACTGTAATTTCAGGGGGCTCATCAGGCCAAAGCGGGGCTTCCTCGGGGCCAGCGGCCTGCCAAATACCTTGAAAGGGCTAGCTGAGAGTGAAAGGAGAGGCGGAGTTTGCCCGAGTCTGGTAAATATGGCGTACCACCATTACACTAGTATTCCGATCGCACAAGAGTACATGCGACAAACAAACAAATAAATAAATAAATAAATAATTAAAAAAGGGAAAGAATAACATAAAGCTGGTCAGTTTAAGATAGGCTATTCCATAAAATACTTTATAGGCTCGGGGTCTTTTGCTGAAGATCGGCCTTATGTAACCCTTTTAAATGTATGGGTGTTGCATGAAATATATGTCAAGTTTAAAAGGTGTGTTTGTGCACACAGCCTAGGGAAAAATTATTATGTTTAGGTCTCTCCGGAGCAATTGGGTAGAATGTTTGACGTGGTTTATTAAAACGAAGATGCTATGAAACAAATTTTATACCGAGTTCATACCAGAAAATTTCTGTGGTTTTATTTTATGGATGGTGCGCTCGGTCATCCCTCCGTCAGTGCCGAGACCACTCGATGCACGATGCCAACAGTAGGTCAGCGGATAAACAAACATAATGAATGGAAATACAAAGACCGGTGTGTGTATAGACATATAATGTAATGCTGTGCACTTGTTTGTTTCGTTTGTATATATTTTAATCGTTTCGTGATGATGCAATGGTGTGCATTATCTGCCTGATTCTGGCTGAACTGGGCGGTTGTGTAACGTTTGATGTGGTGGGACGTTCTGGGGCCGGTGTTTGCATAACGTACTGCGAGCTACTAGCCCAACAGTGGAAACATGACATGATTTTGGCTTTCCTGCTCCAGCTCCCGGGCAATCGCATGGCCCGGCCTGATAAAAGCCCTGGCCCGCACTGGCCCGACAGTGGAAATGCGGCTAGTGATTCACAAAGTAGCCAAAAAACTGCATTATTGACAGCATGTTCTAAAGGTCTCATCTCTACACTTTAATGACTTCAAAAGGTTTAACCTCTGGAGCGACGGCTTTTAAAGTATTAGGGAATAAAATTAGCTCCTATAAGGAATGCAATGTTTGCCACCAAACAACTTCCTTGCGCAAAGCATCATTGGGGCCCGAAGTATCTTATCAGCTGTACCCTTCAAGGGCCAATTGAAGTGGCCAGTTTTGAGCACTTGGGTTTGGAACAACACTTCAATAAGGTAGCCATGATTGTTTTCATACTGAAATGCCTCTCGGAGGGTGATAAATAACGTTTGAACAGACTATAAACCGCGTACAAGCGTTACCGACAACTGATGCCTCAACGAGAGATTGCAACAACTAGTAATGGGTTTTGTTTCGATATTTTCTGAAAATGATTTCGATAACGATTATTGATATAGTCTCATACCGTTACTGTTACTATTTTCAATTATTTTGGCCAAAAAGAAAATAAAAGTTGATCTTAATTACTGTTGAGCTTTACAGCAGTTTACAAATACCTGTAGGCAAACAGAAGTAGGTGTATAAAATAGGAAAATATAAAAACCTAAATACGATGCAACGGTCTGCGAGTTGGACGGCATGTTTTGTTGGTAAATGTTTTATTATAGAACATTTTGTTCACTTTTACACTATGCATATGTTGCCTTTACACTCGTGTCACTTAGACTCAATCCCAATTCAACCCTTAGCCCTTCCCCTTACCCAAATCTCTTTAGCTTGAAGCCGTAGGGCTAAGGGGAAAGGCTAGATAGCTAGATGAAAGATTTTTCAGGACAAACTCGAAACCAAGGGGTATGAAAATTTTATAACGAACGTTTTTGGCATTTGTGTTTTACCCTCATGTTTTTTTTTAAAACGCTAAATTTTGCTATCTATAATCCATAATAATAACTCCTGTGTGGTACATACTTTCACATCTGACACTCAAATCCCCTGTCAGAAACGTCTAGTAGCTGTGAATGAGCTTTACAATGTCTGCTATAACGTTAATGTTGTTTTCGTGTGTTTACGTAGATGAATATGGCCAGGGTGTAAATGGACAGTACAGTTACGAGCTTATTGCCACATTATATCGTTATGATAACATGATATATGCCTTCAGTGATCTCCTGAAGATAAATACCAAAAAATAACACGACTAGAATAACTACAGCAGTCACGATCGTCAATCTCATATGAAGCAAGAGATCGCTATGTCACACGATGACGCACTTCCCCTTCACACTCTGTTTCAAGGGCCAAAGGGAAAAGGAAGGAATAGGGGTACAAAAATAGAATTAAGATTGGACCTTAGTTTTGTTACATCAGCCCACACTTGACTGTTTCAACCTAGCCCCATGACAGATTGTCACACATAAACACACTCAGCACATGCACAACCCACATAAAGACATCATTCAGGGATGTGAAATAATAAGCAGCAGCTTCTAGGTTGATGTTAATATTGATAAATACAGAGACAAAGCAGGGTGTAGTATACGTTGGGCTTTAATGCCATGTCAGAAGCTTTTCTCTGTCATATTAGCAATGTAAATTTGAGGTGTTTGTCCCATTTAAGCCACGATTTCTAATTTTGTTTTACACTAAAAAAGGTTTGAATTACAATAATGTGAGTAACTGATAACAATTTAGCAGATGCACAATAACATTGAACAAATGCAAAAATAAGACACCAAATGAACATGCTAGACTGTCAACACAATGAGACGTGCAAAATTTGAACCAACAGCAATTTTGGTTTCTGCCAGTGACACTGCCGTGAGCCACAAGGGAGCCTTTATAGGTCAAATTCTTGTTTTTATGACAGGTATCCTGACATGGCCATTCCTGCATTCACTACCACCCATTAAGCTGTTTATTTTCCACGGGATGATTTACCCACAGGCTAATTGCAAAGAAAAAATCCTAAAACACTTAGGCCGAGCTAAAAAAATGAATCCTGGAAAATGCAATAGATAATAATGGAGCTTTTGAATTATGCAGCTTAAATGAAACTTTAAAAGATAACGTTACCCCAGAGTTCACAACCTTTTCAATCTCTTGCTCGTTCCACTTGTTTTAAAGGTACTCTTTTCTTTAATAGCCATCCTTAAATTCCGATTCTAACAAGAATGCATTGGTGCATCATATCCATTATGCCAGAAAACAGAATTAATCAAGGCAAAAAACAAGCATCTTTCACAGCCCAGGAAGACAGACAGCACCCGGCCTGTCTGCGGACTCTAACATTTTCACACTGCTGAGTAAACAGCGCTATCTTTATTGCTTTGATGGCTCTCCAAATCTCATGTTTACATTTGATAACCCAATTCCAGCCAGCCATTGCGAACTCTCGTAGGTAGCAGAGTGGAGGCATTTGGAAATGAGGTCATAAACTGATGTCATTGTTTAGAAATGAAGCAGGGAACGAAAAAAAAACTTTAACCCAAGCTAGTAAATCCTCACACTTCAGATTTTACAACAAAACAGATTGCGACAGAGCATGTTCATATGGACACAGAAACAAAACTAGACATCTTTGCTCACAGAACGTTAAAGTACTTTGATAGACTTACTTTATTTATTTAAATTATAAAAGCTTATGTTTGCAAGCATCTTCAGGGGTTCTGGTAACTAAGAAGGTGCTGTTTATTCATTTCAAATAATGACAATATTACATTTAGTTCATTTAGTGTAACAAAAGTTTAACCATAAAAATAAACCATTAAAAAATCTTCAGTCATCTAGAATAAGAGTTATTTGATGATTATTTAAGGATTACAGTTAGGCCTGTCACAATAATCAATATATAGACTTATCGCACCATACATGGGCATGTCCTCAATAACTTTTTGCAATGCAATATACATCGCCCAACGCCCATACATAAAAACCAATTCTAACTATATTTTAGCTGATTGTACTGCCTCTTTTAGAGGTGTCAGTGTCAGTATGGTTAACACTATAGTATTTACTACACTCATGTGGGTGCCTGACGACTAAAAATAGATCTGTTACCAGTTCTTTTTACCTTAGACATTTTTGTTAACATTTATTATTATTATTATTTATTTGTTTGTTTAGGATCTCTGTCTTCACATTCTGATTCCAATGCCTAATTATTAAATTGAAAAAACGACTGTAATTATGAAATAGTTTTAAGTATATAATCATATGTGTTCTTTGGAAGAGTGTACTTGCATTATGATGATACTATAGTGGCAAAATTGTCCTAAAATTACAATTATATATTTTAATCGCAATAAATTGTGTTGCT